TTCCCTTCTTCCCTGTGTTTCCTGACAGAGGCATCGCCAACAAACAAAAATCCCGCTGCTTCGACAGCACCGATTTTAGAGCTTTTTACTCCTGATGGAGTCTTTTTGGTTTTTTTTTTGTTGTTTGTTTTCATTTTTTTTTGGTATGTGTGCGGTTTTGTGTGTTTGGGGATTGTTTTTCTGTGGTTTATTTGTGTTTTTTTCCTATTCCATTTTATTTTCCCCCCCTGTCTACCCCTTGTCTTTGTTCTGTGTTTTCCCAGAGCTGTCGGCTGGACTGTTTGGAAGTTCCCGGCCTTGCTTAGCAGAGGTTAGAGTTTGACAGAAGCATCCAAGGCAAGTCCTGACGTTGTTGCACCACTTAGTCCCGCTCTGCTCCTTCACCTGCCCCTTACTGCTGGGCAGTCCTTCTGCAGGGCAATTGCTGTGCTTGTCTAATGGGGATGTTAAGGCATTTATCTCATGAAACATACTTAATATTGATATTTTATTTTAGTAGACTGCATAGGGAGAAACAAAGACCCATTCTGCTAGTGTCATTTGGGTTTGAAGTTGCTTAATGTGTAGTTTAAATCAGTTTTGTGGTTAAACAGTGAAGATACACAAGTGGAAGAAGTAGTGTTGACTTTTCAGAGTCACTGAGACAATACATCTTTCTGGTGTGGGACGAAATTGCAAAGTAGGGGAAAATAACTTTAGGAAAGTGTTGTTTAGCTATTTAAATCTGGTTTTCCTGATCTTATTTTGTGCATGTTTTATGGCATTAAACCGAGAAAGGGATAATTTGTTTAAAAATAGAAGGTGAAGTCTGAAATCATGTCACAGATATTGGGGCATAGTAAGTACGAGTTTATCCTGAGGGACTGAGATTACATCAGCGCACCTGAGTGCTGCATTTAGACTCACTGTTAGGAGCAGATTTGCAAGACAAACAAGTTTGTGTGCTTTGTTTTGTTGTTTTATGTTTGCTTTGTTCTTTGTTTGGAGGTAGTGTCACTCTTTTTTTTTTTTTAATTAATTAGTGAAACATTAAAGGGCATTATTTGGAAGGACCAGAAATCTCAGAGTCCTACTTGATAAAATTAATAGCAAATGGGTGGAGAGCAATGCTAGGCAAATTCTTCATTACACCAAGAATTCTTCTTCAAAGGAGACAGTTTGGTTTGAATTATTGGTGAGTGGATAGAACTCACTGGAGCATGAAAGCCGTGTTCATGGTTATGATAATTGGATGTGAGCTATTGCATACACGGTAGTATCCCTTTGGATTTTATGGGTTTATTGATGTGAGAAAGCTGTTGGCATTTAGTCTGCTCTAGTTAAAATCCTGTAGTTTGAAATAAACTGCACCCATCTTTAGCTGTCTTTAAGTTCTAAAGCTATCTTTAAATTGATTATGAAGAAATTTGAGCTAAGCTGAGGTACGGGATATATGGAATTTGTGTTCATTTAGCTATGCAGGCTTTAAAACTAAGTTGACTTATATTTCATTTAGCAGAAACACCAGTTTTTGTTTTGTTCAGTGATGCTATATATCCATTAGCAGCACAGGAATCTGCTAGAACGATGAAATCTGAGTACTTGTGTGTGTAAAAGAGCAGACAGAAAGGATATGGATAATTAATGCTTGATTTATTTGTGTTGGTGAGTTGCTTTACTCTTTGCCTCACTGGAAAATTGTCTTATGTATTAGAAAGAAGAAAGGGATTCAGTAAACAAAAAGCACACAGGAAAAGGGAACCCTTGTCTGTATTTGAATTACAAGTCTGTTTCTAAGAAGGGAGTTTGTTGCTGAGGAGTTTGGATTTGCTGCATTAGTCCCTGGCTTTGGTGGGATTCCCTGGCAGCCTGACAGCCCCTCTCACAGCTACTTAAGCTTGTCTTACAAGCTAAGGATGCAAATTTTCACAAATGGAGTACATTTAACTTTGAATATGACTGTCTCAGTGTTTAACAGCTTTTCTTATAAAACCATAGGATTATCCTCTTATAAGTATTCCTAGAATCCTAGAATGGCCTAGGCTGGAAGGGACCTTAGAGATCATTTTAATCCAGCCTCCCTGTCGCCAGGGACGCCACCTCTCGACTAGATTAGGCAGCATATGGGAACGGGAATCAAACCCGCGACCTTAGCGTTGTATTAAATGAATTAATGTGTTTTCTCAGAAAAATTCAGGTTTTTGATCAGTATCCTGTCATCTATAGCAGGGTGCTTTTTTCCCCGCCTAGCATTACTGTATTCCCAAAACTTTGTTGGTGGTTTTCTCTCTGGTACTATCACAACTTTTAAGCTACCTCTTTAAATATTGGCTTCCAGTGGAATATGTTAAAGTTTATTTTAAAATATCGTTTATATGAGTTAGCTGCTTTCCCTCTGTGAGCTTGGTAGGCTGGTTTCCATCATTTACCTCTATTCTTACTATTACGTAATCTTTGGCCAACATCAAAACCAGTGTGTCACACCTGCCTGTGCAGATGCCCCAGTCCTGCTAGCACACATTCGCAAATAGAACCTTCTTCTATGCAAAGGTGACAGTATCTTGGTTTATCTTAGAATGTGATAAAAGAATCATTGTTTTGAAATGGTGAGAAAGAACGGAGTCCTTGACATTATTCCAGCTCAGTAAGAAACACGTTTTGTGTGCCTGTCTGCTTTTAGGCTCTGTGGCACCTGATGTTTTAACTGTCTGTAACGTGCCATTGACAGGTGGTTTGCCTCATGGACGGAGTTATTATTTGGACACAGTTTAACTGTATTAATGGTCGTTTTCAGATTTACGTGCAAACAGCTGAGTTTTTCCTCCTGAGCTCAGGTATGCCTTTGATGTATTTCAGATACTAAGCTTCTCCATGTTGTTTCAGTTTGATCCTTTTTTCAGCTGGAATCTGATAGCCCACAGTTAAACAATGTCCTGTCAGCTGAAGATTTCTGAATTATAAAGTTTGGGTTTTTTCTTTCTTTCTTTCCATTTTCATGTCCATCTCAGATTAGTGTTCTGCCTTGTCACTATGCTTGAAATGGCGTGTTGACATATTTCATTCAGCAGCCTGCTAAAGCTATACTAGTTATACTGCAAGCCATTCTCTTTCTAGCCAGGGAGGGTATGGATGTTAAGCCTCAGTATGGACTCCCATGCTGTATGAACTTGCTTGTTGGAAGATTATTTTGCAACTTGGGGAAAAAAATTGTCTTTAAAATACCGTTGTCTTGAAGTTTTGAGTTAAGGGAATAACTGCTAAGTGAGTTACCATATTCTGTTGTATCAAATTTTTATATGATAAAAGACATTTCTCTTTCCAAATCAGTTGAGATGGTTTGACTTCATAGCCATTGATAAAATTTTCTTCTCTGTGCTTTCTGTTGGTCAAGAAAGCTGTGTTTTATTAATATTAAATTGCTATCAGTGAACTTTAGGGGCTAGCCCAAATGAACAGACAAGTAAATATTTTTCTTGGTATCCTTAGTGTAATAAAAAGTTTTTCTTTCAGTTAAATTTAATTTAGAATTGCTCTAGGATTTTATTGGCATGTCGTATAAACAAGTTCTGTTCTCCATTTGTCTCCTTCTGTACACTAATGTTTTTGGATTTGTAACAAGTTTTTGCTGTTTTAATTTCAGTCAAATTCCCATTTCAACAGATTGCTAACTGTGGATCCTTGAAATTCTGTTTTGCAGAAGGGATTACACTGGATATCATGAACTTAAATGGTTTTGTAATACTCCCGGGCTCAAAAACTGGAACCTCGGTGAGATTAAAAGCAAAGTAAGTGCATTTTATCTCCTTATGAGAGAGATGTTTTATCATGATTTTTAATAAGTCTTAATGCAAAATTAAGTAGAAGAGCTTATTTGTGTAAGAGCAAGAAGAATTATGATGTGTTTCTTTTCTAGTATTTTCCCTATGCTTTTATCCTTGAGTCTTTCTTTTCTCAGGCTTTAATCTACTTTCTAAGTTATAGGTCTTATAGCTGATTATCTAACATATATGCTTTACAAACAAATAATGCTAAAGAATTCAGTGAGGTAGTTTATTTGAATATAATTAAGCACCAAACCTTTCTGAATACAGACGTAATTTTAGTGCTTTTATGTTGGCTGCTCTAAAACTTTATATTGGAGTAACCCTATCACTGTCACACGCCCTTGTGTAAGGAGGTATTTATGGGTCCATGTTGCTAACAGCTCACCTGCCCTGAATTTTCCAGAACTGTTTTCAGTCTTGCTCGGAAGTACAAGGGTGATGTGCCTTTAATGACGAATTTTTCAACTCTTTTTTTTTTTCTTGCCGCTTTAAACTTTTTCAGGTACCTTACTGTCATTCATGCTAATTTCTAACAAATATTTTACTATTTGAACTCCTCCAGAGCTGTCAGAGAATTGCAGTTGGAGAGAGCGCAGTTAGAAGCAGAAAATGAAGAGATGGAGAAGAAATTACGGCAACTACAGATAAACATGAGCAAAGAAAAAGAAGAAAGACAGTAGGTTAAACTTCCACACCTCCCCTTGCCCGAAACGGGATCTCTTGCAAATTTTGGAATTCACAGCAGTGTTCAGTCTCCTCTCTACAGTCTTTCTTCACAATGATAAACTTGCTACCCTATGACTTTTTTTTGAACTCTCCTGTGACATTTTGATTACTTTTTTTTTTTTCCCCCAGAACTAAACTTAACAAATCCTTCCTGGCAGGGATATTCCTTCAGTGGCAGAGATCCCTTTTCCTCATTTATTCCATCCTCTCCCTTTTTCCCCTCTCCAGTTGGATTTGTCACCTTAGTTTTAAAGCAGGAGACAGAAAAGTAGATTCTCTTCACTATTTCAGCCTTATTTCTGAAGTTTCTAAAGAGGATGAAGTTCTTACTGCCTTGATCCTGTTTTGTGTGCATCTGTGTAGCTTCTCAGACAGGCATTTTCTGTACGATAGAAAACACGGCTTGGAAATTAAGCATAATGTAATGAAAGAAGTGCCGGGGTGGAAGCTGAAATCGCTCAGCTCTCTTACCAGCTCTCTCTGAATATTAGCAAATCTCTGCAACATCTGCTTCCATTTCTTTGTATTTCTGCCTGACTGGGGGTGCAAGTGCCTTGGATACCTCAGTGCCTTAGTCTGGGTAATGCTAAGGGCCTGCTGCTTGCAGCTCTGTAAAATTTTGCTTGAGCTGTTGAGGCAGTGCTTTCCAGGTAGTGTGTGGCACTCTTTTTTTTTTTCTCACGCAGTTCTTCTTGTGCTATTCTCATGGCCTTGTACCTGCGAACCCCCACAGTGGCGAGTTCAAACGACAGGAATCGTTGGCATTTGCACCACTGGGGGAAGATCATCCCTTTTCCCTCCCACATGTTTTCCTTACCTCTGGTTCTGTATGCTTTAGTTTGTTTTCCCCAATGTTTCTTTGTAAAATAAAGTAGATCAGTCATTTGAAAGCTTGCTAAGTATTATGCAATAGTTCAGCACTAAAGCTGAAAATCACTGTTTAATCCCCACGGTCTTTCATGTTTGTCATAGTAGTTTTGTCAATATCTAAACTGATATTCACTGAAAACTTAATTGTAGGCATGTGTTCCTGACTTATTAAAAGATGCTACATTTCAGCTGTGCTGGATGAATGCCCTAGAGTAAATTGGGACAATGAAGACTTATCTAAAGTGTACTTCTCTTGCATTTTTATTCTTCCAAAGCCAACCTTAGAGAATTGATGGGATATTTGTACATTTAAAAACTTAGACCTAAAATTAGGTCTAAAAATAAGTATCCTTATACATTTGGTGTGTTTTACTATTACTAAGGTAGATGTGCACCAGATTTCAGTGGAAGGGAAGTGTTTGTTTTTTGGGGAATTGATGATCCTATAGATAAGTATTAATGTTTTTGGGATGCCCTGTTCTTATTTCAAAACCTGAAGGAAAACTTTTGTCCTCCTCTTGCTTACAGAAGACATAGTTTGTAAGTTCTTCCTTACTCTTGGTTCCTAGGAAATCAAGTGCTTATCATTGGAAATCCGGACAGGCAGGACCGATGACTATCCAAGCCCGAGTTTTGTCACAAAGCAAAGGAAACAACAATACTAAGGTAGTAAACCATCGGTATATTTGCAGGTAAAGCTATTTAAAACAAAAATTTCTGCATTCACAGTAAAACTTCCGTGGGACTCTGTGGCTTTGTTTTTGGTGTTTTGATTTTTTTCCTCTACTTCTGGATGTCCTATCATCTTTATTATGGTGCTTCTGGATTCTTTCAGTAAGCACAGAACAAAACTGAGAACCCAACTTGCCATTTGGTTCACAGTAACTGGAAAAGTCCCACATTCATCCTCTGAGGACTGATGCTGGCTGGTCAAGGGTGGATTAAAAAGATAGTTGAAGCATTGTCTTGGATAAGGACTGGACTCAGTCCACCCTCTTGGACTGAGACTGAATGCTACTGAGTGTTTTAAAATGTGGATTAAGTTTATCAGTTTTCTCTTGTTCTGTGAAGTCCTTGCTCAGACCAAAAAGAGGAATTTAAAACTCTCCTGCTAAAATATTGAAAGAATAAACTCTGTACACAATGGGGTGTCTTCCCCGTATTTAATTTTGGAAATGACTGGGGCTGTTTTGCTTAAACTCTCAAACAATATTAAGGATAAGGCAAACGTCTGGGAAAGGTAAAAGTTGGTAGCATTTTTAAATAGCTGCAGACTGGACCTTGTAGGGAGCTTTATCACTTCCAGCTGTAACAGCCTAGTTTTAGTATTCCATCCTCTAGTGAAATAGATTGATGATTTTAATAGCTTAGGCTCCTGTCCTTGAGGCCTTATGTATCGTGGAAGCAGGCATTAGGTGTATCCGCCATCAAATAATATTCACAGGTGCTGTTAAAGTACCAATTGTGATAACAGAACTTATGTTCTCTACTTGTTCCATGAATTAGTATGAAAAATTTGTATTAGATCCCCAAATCCAAACTAATTCAATCCCTCTCTCCTTTAGCAGGCAGTGATGTGTCTGGAGAAGCATGCAAATTGGACTGAGTGGGACATAAAAAGAGTTTTCTCTTGTGTTGGTTTTTTTTTCTTTTTTTTTCTGGAAGCCATGCTATGTGTACTGTGTTAAAATGAGAGCTATTAATTAAGAGAGACTGCTTGAAACTGGCTGAAATAAAGCTTATATGTCTGAAGAGAAAAACAGACAATGACAACTTCAGACTAAGCTGCCGCAGTTGCTATTTAAGTCCTTTGAAGCAGCAGCAGTTTGGTGCGAAGGTCTTCTCAGCCAACGCACTCAATTTCAATAAAATTGCCTGTTGCCTGTGAGTAGAAGAGGGGGTCAGAATGAAGAGGTTTTATTTAACCCACTTCTTTATCTTTCCCCTTCTCTGAGACAAGTAACTCTGAGCTGTCACTACTTCAAAGACTTCAGGTTTCAGCTGTGATGGCTAAGGAGATGCGTGGGGCAGAATTTTCAAAAGGGCAAAATGAGAAATGCTGGCAGATGCACAAGACTTGGGGAGGGAGGTGAGAATGCAGCGTGGGCTCTCTTTATTGAGGAGCAAAAATGTTGAAAATTATTAGTTACTGAGATGCTAAATCATGGAATCAGGAGAAGCAGAAGAAAAAAAAGAACTGCCTCCCTCTTGTAACAGTAATTTTTAAATTCCTTAATAGTTATACTTCTATTCATTTTCATTAGCACCTCATATATATATATATATATACACACAGATGTAAATATTCTTTCATATAGGTTTCTTCAGGAAAAGTGAAATTGCAAATACTCAAAGAACGGATTCAAGGTAAAGACATCATTGTTAACTAAATAAACCTGACAAACTGCTGGTAGAGTATCTGGTTCTTGGAGGTTTGCTGCGATTAAGCAATAAGGAAATCAGAGATGAGTACTTTTGTGGGGGGGAGTTGTTTTTTGGATTTTTTTTTTTTCAGAGCCAGGGAAAAAACCATTTAAGCGTGAAATGGCAAAAGCTGTAGCTCGTGAACCATCTGCAGTGAAGGGGATAGCATGCAGACAATATGAAATTAAGAGTGCACTGCTGGTAAGTAAATGGTTTAAAAATTACTTCAGAGCAAGAGAATATAAAGTGTGTGTATAGTAGCTGTGTGGCAGTGTGTAGATGTACATATATTACATAGTGCAATGTGTTGTCAAATGAATTGTAGTGGGTTTGTCGAGGCTGTGAGCTCTGTGTGGGCTGCACAGAGAAGCTGTTTCACCTGGAGTTCCCTTCCAGGCTCCTTCCTGACGAGACCTATGTATGGAAATACATATGGGTGTGCTTAAAACACAGGTGCGGGGCTAAATTTTACATTAGTTTTCAGCTTGTTACCTTTTCTGTCCAGTGCAGTTGTATTATGGTCGTCTGTGAAGTTGCAGTAGTAGCTGTCTCTGCCCTTCAGTAAAAACGAATCATTTTAACAGCAGTGTTGCTACCTTGAAATGATAAAATTAAGGAGCTCTTTTGAACTTTTACCTCAGCTTTTCTGGTCAATTGAAGATTTTATTTTATTTTTTAATGCCTTACTTCTGCAGTTTTTTCTGCTGGGAAGTATAAGGCTTCTCTAAGATGGTCAGCTTGAGGTGCTCTAGCAACTAATACATGTCTAATAACTTTAAAAGAGAAAAATATTACTTGCATATGAAATAGAGTCATAGGTCAGAGGTTTTTTTTACTTTTGTTTGTTGTAAACGGCTGTTTCCCAAAATATATTGGTGACATCCACTTGAAGTCTAGGATATCTTGTTGGGATAACAGTGCACGCAAGGTAAAGGGAGGTTTTACATGGCAAATGTCGAGGAAACAGATAAAATGGTTCAGTTATCGATGGTTCAGCGTTACCGGTTCTGTGACCGGGGTGGGACGGGCGCTGGAGGGCGCTGCGACCCCACGGGAGGTACCCGGACACCCCGCACCCACCGCGGCTTCTTCCTCGGGGTTTTTCCGACACAGCTGATTCTTCTCCCCGCCTCACATCTGCTCAGACGTTCGAAGGGATGGGTCGGCTGGAAATCGTTGCTATTTTGTAATGAATCGGACTACAGTTTGCTCTTTTCTTAACGCTTCCCCACCCTTTAGGTGAAGCCGTGCTTCTGAGGACTTAATTCCTGATGCCGGGAAGTCTCAGGTCATCTGTAACATCTGTAAGATTAGGTGGATAACAAGGCATTGTTTTAACACTTATGTTACAAAGGGATTGCTTTCACGCTGCCACATACGACTTCCTTATTGAATAGGACATTTGTCAGTTAAAAGAGTTTTCATAGACATGAAGAGCGTAGCCGTTTTATTGCAGTACTTACTGGGGAACCAGAAGAAAAAAAAGTCGTGCTGACTCTTCTTGTACCTTGGTGGATTTTGTAGTTGTGCACACCTTGGGGAAAAATGAGTTAAATTGAACCAATGGCAGTGTTACCTGGTTGGAAGTGTGTAACCAGTTGCTGAGTCAGGAGACTGTTACGCAGCCTGTTTGAAATACTGTTATTGGTGTATTTCAGACTTTTCCAAATTGTTGGATGTTAAGCAGTTTGGAAAAAATAAAAGTAATTGCAAGCACGAAAAATAACTGAAGGTGTTTGCTCATTAGTCAAAGATTACGCTTGAGAGTATATGTAACAATCTGTGTTACTTGTAATTTAAATATAGTTGTAAGGAAGTTTGAAACTCTGAATTCCTACTTAAGATTGTGTCTTGTCAGGTACCATCTTCAGCTTTCATGATTATTTCTTACTTGGATTCCACTCATAAAGGGATAAAGTGATCTGACAGTAAAATGTTTTACAGTGCAGCGGAGATTGAGGTTGTGTGTAATTTTGTTATTCAACACAGTAATATTCAACTTGTAACATACAACTTCGTTGTGCGTCTGTTATAGAGCAATAAAAAATTTATAATTTTTTAATTAGGGTAGTAAAGTTTCCTCCTGGAATTATTGTATAACACTTAATTGTAACAAACTTCTCATGCATAATATTTGATTGCGTTTCATAAATGGGTTGTAACAACTCTTTTTTTGGAGCAAATTGTACGTGCATTTTGGATTTTATCCTTTCGACAAACCTGCTATCTTTGTTCTAAGGTTATTCCAAATTTTATTTTGGTAGATGCCATTAATTTTAAAAATACCTTCTCAAATACATATTATTATGCTTCTTTTCATTCTCTTTCATTCCCTTGGTCTTTCTTTGTACGTAGGAAGGGGGCGTAGAGAAAGGATGAACATAAAATATTTTTTAGTTTTGCTTGTTAATCAGTCAAGATTTGGTAATCAAAACCTATTACATTCCGTGGTAATAATCTTCATTCTGATGAGGGTTGTAAATCAGTGAAGTCCCAGTGTGGGTAGAAGTGTTGTTCTCGTTCGGTAGCTATTTTCAGTCCAACTCATCTAGTTCTTTATAGTTTTGACTTCACTTTTTTTAATGTGTGAACCTTAAAAGAACATTTTCCTCTTGGTGACCTCTACAGATGTGCTTCTTTCTGCCAGAAAGCTTCAGTAAGCAGAACTTCATTAATAAAATACATAGCTCATAAATTTGTTGAAATGGTATGTGCTGCATAAAATGCCTCACTTAGTCTGTCCTGTGTGATACCTAATGGAATATTTAGATTATTGAATTTTAGCTGGAACGTTTGCACACTATTGATTATTTAAGTTATTATCCTTTTGTCACCATCGCTCTTCAGTATATGGTTACCCACCTGCTTTTAATATGCTGTTAGAGTATGTTTATAATAAATAATGGTTTTGTAACGTTTCATTAACAGACAGAAGGCAATACACGTGTTGGAACCTTGGAAGTGGTTGATTGCTTCACCAAGGAAGTAAATCTGAATAAATCAAAACCTAATCATGAGCAAAAGAAAGTAAATAGCAAGCATCAGGTCACATCAGACAAGTTTTCATCTCTGCTGGCATCAACAGGCAGTGCTGAGGTAGTGTATAATTCTCTTTATTGTTTAGGACATTTAAGATAGAGTGGCCTTAAGCTTTTCGGCCATGTGGACTCGCCCCGGTTCCTGTCGGTCAACCTAATATCTGTCCTGTATGTAGGGTGTGGGTTGTCCGTGGCTACTGTGTTAAAAGCGTTTACGTTAGATATTTGGGGTTGTGTGTGCTTGTGCCAACTTTTTGCTTTTTTTATTAGTTTACTCTTGCTAGAACGTTGCAATTTAGTTGTGAGCAGGGCCATGTAAGAACTGAGTGATCCTGATTACCAGGGTAGCGTGACTAAGCCCAGAAAGCAGGGTGCTGCACTCCCCTAGCTGCTCCTGAAAATGTTGTTGCTGCTGAATTTAACTGGGGAGAGGATTGTCGTCAGAAGTGCTGTATTAATTATCTTGTGGCACTGGTTTAGGAACCGTCCTCAGAACCAACCTGTACAGGCCTTGAAAATCAGGACAAAGGTTTATTACTAAATGGTCCATTGAATGAGGAGGAATCTGCAAAGTCTTTTCAGGAAGCTTTGCTTCAGTGGAGAAAGGGTAGTTGTGATCACCAAGAGCAACTGTGTGCCAGCAAGGTCCTGTCAGGTAGGATTTTATTTTTCTGTTTTATCTGCATTTTAAAAACATTAAGAGTCATTTTGGTGAGTTAGCAGATTTTTGATGAGTGGAGGTGGATGTGCTGTGAGAATACTAAATGTTTCTTCTGTAGTCCATGGATGGCGTTTATCCTTTGTGTATTTTTGCACAAGAAAATATTATACTGGGTTTTTTTATTTCTTTCCTGTGATATGGTGGCATTTTTAATCTGTGGAGTCATGGATTCCCCTTCTCTGCTGTCTTCCCCTCCTTGTGGTAATAACTGTATAATAAATGTAATAAGTTTTTACTGGTTACCCCCACTGCTGACTGTGTAGTGTAAATATAATCCTGCTGGCCCTTTAAATTTTGTAATTATGCAAACATTTAGCTAAGCATAGACTAACTGATGTGACATTCAGTCAAAAAAAATGTAGTTAAATAGCAGGTTTATAAATCTGAGTAGCTGTATTTTTGATTTTTAAATAATTTGAATAGAATCTGTGGGAAGCTGCGAGGTACAGACCAATCTTATCATGAGGAAGGAACCTTTCAAAATTGAATTCCAGACGGGCGGCCTGAGCTACTTGGAGAAACTCCTGCTTAAGAAATATAGAAGGTATTGCTGGAGTCACTGCTACTAATGAAAGAAGTCAGATACATTTCATAGCATTAACAATAATTTCATTGAAATTTTAAAAATATTAGCTATGTTACCAAGAGTTAGAGTGACTGAATGCAGAGGGCTTTATTTTGATGAAATAATCATTATAACCAGACTTGATGACTTTATGTTTCAGAATTACTGCAGAGGTTGTATTTGGAGGGATTCTCTTTTGCTACCAGTTTATTGCAGAATTTGAAGACGGGTAATAATACTTAGTTGCTTAATCTGAGGGCATTTGCTACAGGGATTTTGTAGAGAAGAGGCAATATGATCTTTAGGATACTTTTATAAACATTATTGAGTTGTTAGTCCTGGATGTACAAGGTCGTCTCAATGAAATTAGGCAGAGTTGTCTGTGTGGTGTTTGGGTTTTGTTGTTTGGCTGAGGTTTTTTTTTAGTCATGTTTTAAAACCGATGACTTGATTTCTTCTCATTTTTTTTAGAACTCCTGTTGATGAAGTTTCTGGTGGTTGCATTAAAGATTTAAGCCCTGTGCCACCACTGAGCGTACATCAGTCTGTGACTGGAGGAGGGGAAGAAGGAGATTGTGATGATATCGATGAGTTAACAGGTGTAATAGATTTATGTTTATTGATTAAACTATTAAATGCTTTTCCTTGTTTTTTTTTGGTGTGGTGTTTGCTGTGATTGCTGAACATTTACATACTTAAGCAGTTTATGCTCAAAGAAAGTAACGATAATGAAAGGAGATATTTATGGTACTTCATAATAAATTAAAAGTTTACCTTTGTGTAAGTGAATCTTGAACAGGAAAAAATGAGATGCATCAAATTAACTGTATTTTGTAGTTGAAGAGGTGAAGAGATATTGGACATCTGTTTTCAGAGAGGAAGTACCCAACACTGTTTCTGAAAGTGCAGAGTCCTCTTTGAAAATTGAGTTCCTTGATGATGTAAGTATGTAATAAAGGACTTCATGACACAGTGATCCTAAGTGATTTGTTTAAATGTTGATCTGTTAAATATTTAAAGTAGCAACATCTAAATAATTTCTAATTCCGCTTATGTCCAGGGACCGTTACTATACAGAAATTATACTAAAAGAAAATCTGCAGACTTTTAATCACATGAGCTAATGTTTTTTTGAATTTTAATTTGTTGCTGAATATGGGTGTTTTGGTTTTGTTTTTTAATTAGTCTTACGACAAGGACTTAGAAGAATCATCCAGTGTTTTGGTGACGGAAGCTGAGACTATGGGAATGAATAAACAAGGAAGAGCTGAACCACTGATGCAGTTTAGAAGGTATCAGAAATGCAGATATTATCTGAAAGAAAGCAATAGTCCTATCTTCTGACTTAGTTACGTTCCTACATACTAGGTGCAGACGGTTGTACTTCATAGGATTGGGAGAATTCTTGATCTTAGATTATTTTAAAGCATGATTAAGATACACATCCTCTCATCCTTGGTGCAAGGCGTAGACAGTGCCAGTGTCATGACACTTAGTTACTGCTTTCCCTTCCGTTCATTTCTTGCAAGATCCTGTCTGTGACTGCTCCTTCTGTGCTTGAGAATTTTCTTTTGAATGACCTGACGATTTATTTGTAAGATGTTCTAAGAATACTTTGGCAGTTGACGGGCATACGACACATTTTCCATCAAAGTTAGTGAATAGTAAGTCTTGTGACTTTGTCAGCGAGCCACCAAAGTGTATTTATTGCCTGTAACTGGAGAGATATCAGTTTGAAATTGAGTTTGTTTAGTTGCTCCGGTGTTAAGTCGTCTAAGATGTATTTCCTCATATGTGTATGACCTGAATTCCAGGTGGAATTTCTCTTTTGTGTGCTCTTAGTAGGAGCAGGAACAGGAGCATGCAGACAATGTTGTCATCGGTCAGCATTTTAAGATACTTTTACTTGACTAATCTCGTAATTCCAGTCAAACTAAGAGTGTAATAGTTAGTGATATGTGTGCAATTCTTCTGATTGCCCAAAATTTATTTATGATTATATGTAATCTGGTTTTATTATATTATGTTCTTCTGATCTTTTCTCCTTCCTCTGTTCCAAAGAGGTAGAGCATTTACACATACTAGATCTTTTGCCAAGAGAAACTGTGGGCATAATGGGAAAAATCATCTTGTCATTTAAATTTCCACAGTTGACACTCCGTATTTTTTACTTCTTGACAGAGATCCTGTTTCTTCCAAAGAAATTTCTCAAGGTAAATTTTGTGAGTTATTATTAAAACATACATAACTGTGTACATTTTGTCATTCTCATCTAGGATGTGGTAGTCAACTGTGATGGTTGTCCAAAAAAACCCAAAGACAGTTAAGTTATGTACCATTCCCCGAGTTACGCAGGTCTCTTGACCACAGTGTGATGGGCTGTGCAAGTTATTGCTCCAGCACTTCAGCACTAAGCACTTGTTCTCTTTTGTGCTTAGTTCAAGAAACTGCTTATTTAAGTATCCAGATCTGAAAAATCAAACAAGAGCTGACTAGTGAGGTGTGATTTTTGGCGCTACGTTGGGCACAGGATAAAAAAATGACATGGCTATGTCCTTGTGTAAACAAAATAAAAACAACTTGCAGAACCATTTGCAGCCTGATAGTGTGTATTTCAAACCATTATACTAAAGAGATTTTATGAAATTGCTACTATTGCAGTTCTTACATGGGCTCAGGTTATATTACAGCATTCTAAATGGGAAAACTTAGATTAGCATGCAGTAGGAGTTGGCGACGTGATAAGATTATTTTCAGGAGCTGATGTTTTCATGGACAATGATGTGCAGGAACGTGGGCATTAGACATGGTAGTGCTACCTGCTGGGTCTAGTCTGTGTCTTAACTTTCATCAGCTCCCTGCTGATATATAGAGATGTTAACTGGTTTTGTTTGTAATTTTATGGCTAAAGGGTAAATTCAGTGGAGGTATTGTGTTTTTAAGTTCATGAAGAAAATATGGTAGACTTGCAAATATAATTCATATTCATTTGCATAAAAAATATTCATGTTGTCATGGTTTTGTTATACTCTTGTAGAAGAAATCGTTGTCTGCAATCCTCTTGAGAGAAGTGCAGTGCAAAGGAAGAGTATTAAACTAAAAAGCACAAGAAGATCACTTGGCTCCTGTAAACTGCCTGGGAAGATTTCTAACCCTACAGAACTAAGGAGCAACAAATATCTCCTTGAGACACAACTGCAGAAAACCCATAAAGATTCACAACAACTCGACAGTGGCTGTGATAGTCAGAGTTTGGTTTTGTCTGTGATTACCAAGTCTTCAGAGGTAAAATATATCCACCTTATATATATTTTTCTTTAATTGTTAAATAGATAAATTCTGTTGCTTAACCTACTTTCCCAGTTTAGCGTGAGGCAATATACTGTGGTCCCGAATCACTCGAGAGATAGCGATAGGTGTATGAGTACCCTGAAATATTCTACCACTTCTCCCCGTTCTTCTCCAGCAACCCCACCCCAAAGCAATCAAGAGTATAATTTTAATCAACAGGATTATCACTGCCTACTCTATTTTATATGTAGGGGGTGAAAATGTCTGTGCTTTCCATTTGTAGTGTCAATCTTCTGCCGATGTTCAAGAAAAGCAAAATAAAGACCAGATTAGTCTCAAACAAGAAAAAATAAAGGTTTGTTGGGGAAGAAGGCAGCTCTTGCCATGTTAGTAGCAAGGTCACTTCACCTCTCAGTTGAATGCCAAAAATTGTAGATACTCATATCTAACTTAAGTTATTCAAATGTTCCTTTGCTTGAAAATGCAACTGAATGCAAAAAATCGTGGAGGAATTTGGGACATTAGATTTGGAGTCATTGTTATACGGTATTTCTGGTGAGTATCTACTTCACCAGACTATCACAATCATTCCAAATTTTATGAAATGAACATTTTATTATAAATTTGCAAGGAAAACTTATAAAGTTTTCTGTTTCTTTTCCTTTTTCTAACACCTCTGTATTTTATTCAAGTTACAGGATGTAGCCAAAAGAAAGAAACGTGTTACTACACAATATTGGGGACTTGAAGGTTTCTTTGTTGTAGGTGCAAACCCCAAACAAGGAATGCTTGAAGCGTGTTCTTCACTGTGCACAGACTCTAGCCTTAGGGACAGCAGTATCCTGTTCCCAGGTAATAGTGTATAAATAAAATCCTCAAACAAAATAGATTATTTATCGTCATTGCTGTAAAAAAATCCTTCTTGTCGTGTAACTTGGATCTAGCTTGCTTTTAGACGTCACTTTGGGATAACAGTCATGCCAACACGAGGTGTTGGTGCTGTGAATTATTAATGTAGCACCATAGATTTTTATGCTTCCTTATAGACCTAGAGAATTTGGTTCAGTAGGAATTTTTGCTTTTCTTTGAGCATAATATACATCACAAAAAATGCTTTTAATGGTGGATATGAATCAGCATGTGAATGGATTACTGAACATGAACATGAATTACAAGGACATCCCTTGTATTTAAGCTTGTTATTGTGAAAGATATGTTTATTAAAATTTTTTTACGTTATATGTAGAAAATTGGTTGTATGACTTCTTTAAATCTCACACATGAGATGGAGCAAATATAGTAACAGTAAATGCATATTGACACAAAACCTGCAAATAATTTCCTCCAATACTTTTGATTTCAGAAGATGGAAAGTGTGTTACTGAAAGGAGCCTAAGTGAATATGCGGATGACTCTGTCGTTCAAGATGCTGTAGAAAGTCAGCTGAGCAGATCTTCGAGGGGTTTGGAGATTCAAAATAGGGTTTCTCCCATGATGGCAGCGTGGAGGTCTTACCCAGGTAAGGACAGCAACAGCTTCGAGGTCCTACTTTAACAGGTTAATTTTTCTTGTGTAGAAAGTAGAAACACTGTCCATGATGTTCTGCTGAGTTTAAGTCATTTTTATATCTTCATCTCTGTATTTTGGTGTAATGGCTTATGTACGTGGCATTGTTTTGGTACGGGTGGGCTTCTGAGTTAAAAATTACCTCTTTGCAGTTGTCGCTTACGATTCTTTTTATTGTGCTTCGTTCCTACTCCTGCCCGTACCCCGTTACTTCCCTCTTAGCTTGAATATTTAGATAATAAACTAGGACAAGATTATGCATTACTTTTTGCAATATCTGGTACAATATAGTTTTGATCTAATAAAAGATTTCTTCATGCTGCTGAAGAAAGTCTTATTATGTGAACTATGAGAAACAAGGCGACGAGCAACGCGTAACTGTCTGCAAGTTCTTAGTTACTTTTCTCAATTTCAGCTGTCTCCATCTAACAGAATGTAGCTTACATTATTTCCCTCATCTTAACCAACGAGTTTGGCATTTTAATTTTAAAAACACTATGTGTGGAAATTGAAACTGTCAATTTTGAATCCCAGAAAGTGTCTATATTTTATTCATGTTGCCTTAAATTAAAAAAAGAAAGAGCCAAAGGTTTAAGCTTTCTACACACATTCTCAGTCTCTCCCCTCCCCAAAATTTGCGCCATTGTTCATATTTAAATGAACTATTTTTTTCTGAAAGATACTCCTGAATTATGATGTGCTGCTTCCCAATTTAATTATAAAGTCTTCATTAATGTTTATTGATTCAAAATCGTAAGCAAAATTAGTTATCTGTTAAGATCAATTCATAATTTTAACTGCAATTAATGTCATTTGTGAGCTGAGATAGAATTCTCTTGATGCGCAAAATCTTGAATTATTAGGAATTGTGACATTTTCTGTTATTTCAGGGGATGGTTCTGGAAGACCTTCACCAACAAATCTGCCGCACCGTAAACTGCGTGGAAATTGTCCAACAAGCACACAGCCAACACCGAAAAGTTCGCCCGTGCCTGGGTGTAGTGTTGATACTGAGTTGTCAGAACACAAATGCCTTGGTGAAACTGAACAAGATGAGTATCTCTGGGAATATATGGCTGACCAAGAAGCCCTACTTAGTCTGGAAAAAGAATTAAAAAGTTATACAGGTAAGTGACAATATTGCCTGTTTTGTTTTTTTTCTCAGAAGTAACATAGTGAAAAGAAGTAGCTATTTAATTTGCCTTCTCACATTGAACTGATTCTGATGCAGAAGTGCACTAAACCACTTGACAATGCAAGACTCTCTTGTGGTTGAACAGTGATTTATTTCTATTTGATCGTACGTTAACCTGTCCTTAATTTAGTAGAACCAAAATGTTTCCACACAACTGTGTTAAGTGTTATGGGTTTTTTATCTGTATTTGTTTTTTAATCCCTTCCATTTTCTTGCAAAAATCTGCAGGATGTCCAGAAATTATTTCAGGTCATGAATTTCTTTTAAATAAGTATCCTTTCCCTGGATATTTAATAATATTAGAAGCTAGATGTGATTTGATGCAAGGGTAGCAAGAAAGGGAGATGGACAGGAAATTTAAAAATCTCTCCTGACACTACTAAGGCACAAGAGATGTGGTACTACCTCTCGTTTTGGGTTTGACTCGACCCCTTTTCCTCTGTCTTTTTAAACCCACCTCCTTGTTTTTCGAAGTGGGAGGAGGTGGCTGGCAAGTGAGGCCAGTTGGTTATGGTTGAACAGAATGAGTGAGTTCTGGTTTTGTTCTTTGCATACAGGAAAAAGAAAGTCAAATATTGAGATGTTTCTGTTCCCTCTCAATGAGGAGAGAGGCCAGTGTCTGACATCCTTTGGGCCATAAGCAGCCTTGACAGAGCGCATCTCTGAGGCTGTAACACGGTCCTTGCCTTCTGACTTGCTGTGGTGCTTTTATTTTGGCAGATCCTGGCTATGATGCATCTTCAGTAAACAAAAGTAGTCTAGATTCCAGAGTGTTCTTATTTTTAAATGCTTTTACCTTAGGTTTTGCTGTATTTTTTTCACACAGCTATTCTGAAGCTTCCAAATACCACCTTTCAGGACAGCTGTCCTTTGGTTTTTTGATATGTAGTCATCCGAACCCATGTATTTTTGGAAGAGTTTCTCTCTTGTTAATGCTTGAAGAATGGGTATCCACGTCCAATATGCTCAGTGAAGAACAGAGAAGGAAGTTAATTGTTGAACCATCCCATTCTTTCTCTCCCTTTTTGTTCTGCTTCCTTGGAATACTTTCATATCTGTTGTATAAGAAGCAGAGGCTATGACCCCAGTCGATAACCTTTTTTATTGGTGGGGCTGGAGTATATCCTATTACCCTGTTTTAAATATGTACTACCATGAGTCAGCTACACGAGTTCTACATTTGCTACTCTATTGTGTACATTTGCTACTGAGATTATGTAGGTTTTAGTGGACTCTCTTTATAAAAGTTTCACGTTGTAGTGGTATAAACATCTTAGAAGCGAACCCTCTTCATTACTTCTAATAATACAGGAACCAAATAATAAAAAGTCAAAATTTGAGGTCTTGTAGTGATATCCTTCATCAGCTACAGGTGTTTTGAGACTTTCAAGGGCATATTTTTGATGATACTGTGAAACTCTTTAAAATGAATAGTGTAGATACTGCATGGTTTTGTTTATATTTGTTCATGAAGTGACCTAAAATATTTCAGGTCCTGAAAAATATTACAGCTTCACTTCTGAGAATGAAACCTCCTCCAGCAGACACTGGGAAAAGATGTGTAGAAATACAGATTTACATAAAAACTGGGAGCTAAAAGACCACAGCAGAGTTGATACTCTCAGGTAAATTAGACTTGCTGAGTGTGTTTTTATGATATTAAAAAGTGCTTAATATGCCAAATAATTTGCCAGAATGGAAAGAAAAAAGAGTCTTCACTTTCTGATTGTACTTCACATGCTGATTACAAATGTCAGCGTGACCTATTTTGTATCTTAATGTTTTAAGCCAGGCAGCTCAGGTTAAGAATTAAGTGGTATGTTTTGTTGTTGAGACTTCAAAATATAAATTTTGGGATTATGATTTTTTTTAATGTGTTAACTTTTGCTGATGTATACAGCACTAACTTTTAGAAAGTACATCTATTACAAACCATCAAAGCCTTTTGGTAGTAAGGCATCTTCAAAGAGAGCAGCAGTGAACAGGTGAGCCAATGACATTTAACTCAGCATAGTCCATGATGTTTTTGTTATATTGCCTTGGCGACTAAGAAGGTAACTGGGAACAAGGAAGTTCCCCAAAATGCTGTTTGTCCCTGGTTTCTTACTATGGTCTTGTAACTAGTAAGGGTCAGTGAGAAACCGTGAGGTTAAATATGTGCTATTTGAATATGGCTAATTCAGGATTGTGGTGGTTTGTGTTTTGTTTTGGTTTTAATACTTAAAATATTGAGACTGCAGGTCAGTAGAAAAATAAACAATATTTGCAGATAGTGTAAAGGAGACCCCCTATCCTAGCTTTACCTTGTAGGATGCTGGATTTCTCCATTAAGACACAGTGTTATTTACTTCCCACTTGTTTAAGAGGTGAAAATCTATGTGACAAAAACTGAGGGGAAAAAAATGAATGTAGTAGCTTGTAGTGTGTGTATACAGTGAAAGCTATTTTCATGCCTTTTAGTTCTACATATGTGAACATATTTAGGCTTAAAGCAGGGTAGCCTGAGGAATCTGAGCTGCTGAAAATCACTGTGGTATGTTTCTTTTAAGGGACTGGGATGAAAGCCAGATGGATGATGAGGAAGAAATTCTGGAGGATAAGCAACAGGTTCTGGCATTACAGTGACCATGCAAAGAACTTAATGCAATTTCTATCTTTCTGTATCATACAAAACCAAGAGGCAGACGGAGAAGTGTTTTGAGTGCTGCTCAAGATATTATCTATTAAGGATTATTTTGTAAAACTCAATTAAAAAAAATCTTTAAAATCCCTTCATTTTGGCTTTTTTATTAATATGAAGAAGTAACAGAATAAAATTGCTCTTGTGCTATTTTTTTAACATTTATTTAATGTAATTTGTGTTCAATAGAAGGTTCCTTGCCCACAGTTTGAATTTTATGTCTCCAAATGCAGTTTTACATTGCCAACGGGAGAGGTAATGTGCAATAAGTATTAACAGAGTGTTCTTAAGTTGGGAGTTTCAATACAGCCAAGTTTATACGGCGAGATGTGTAGTAGAATGTGTAATAGGTCTAGTAATACTTTACTCCTTGCCATATATTTTACCACTAAGGGACTTTGCCTTGCAGAGTAGAAATTAACAGGTTTACACCGTATATTTTACTTTTCCCACTACGCTCCTTACTTCTTAATTTTGGCAGATAGCAGGTACTGGCACTAAACGTGGCTCCCCCTGCTCAGCTCTGTACCACTCTGTACCGTTCCAGCATGCCAAGCTGGGAGTGATCTACTCTGAGCGTACCAAATTTAGCTGTACTATAGAATTTTAACTTAGAGGCCTTTTAATAGTAAGAGAAGGCAGAGGAAATACAGTTAAAAGATGATCTTGGGTGGTTTTGATTTCACCAAACCATTTTAATTTTTCTAGCTGAGCGTGGTGAGGACTCAGCTGTACTTTGGAACTTGCTGCGCCTGTGTTGTGTGAAAAGGTTTCTTCTTCCTCCTCTTCTTCCCAGTTCATGTAAGGTTCAATGAGACTAAAATAATGTCAGTAAAAGGCCACTTGACTGTTACATGCCGACATGGTAGTTTAACGTAAAGAGGGTTTGGTGGCTTTCTGCCCTTTTTTGAGGAGATGATTAATTGTACCCGGTAGTTGAGTAGCTCTGTGGAGGTGGCAAGAAGCTGTAGTTTTGAAGTGACCTAAGAGCTATCTTTTGGTAACATCTTCAGGATTCTCAGACACAGAAGCATTCTTCAGCTTTCTTTAAAGTGTGTCTTTTTTTTCCCTCTCATTGTGTTCTGTTTGAATGTGCTGAACACTTTTTTCCTTCTTTAATTAGTTTCCTCCACTGTGATTTGTAAGATCCTTTTCAAAGCACCTTAAAAGCTTTCCCCTCCACCCCCAGTTTTGATCAAAAGAAGCGTATCGGATTGCAGTCACAACGATTTCTGTCTCATTGTGTTGGGAAATGTTGAAAGTGAGATTAATTAAAAGCTTTTGTCTGACAATTGTTCATACCCATTTATGGGTACATCACCTGACAGGAATCTGAAATTAATGGTAGTTGTTGTTCACAGAAACTTTCATATAAATGACCAAGTTTTATATCCTGCTTTACCTCTTCCACCTATGTTCCACAGTGCTCTCATAACTGCTTTAAATGAGGAATTTATAGAAGCTGAAATTCAGTGAACAATGCTGTACATGCTTTTGACCATGTTGTTATCCATTTTATATTTAAAGAAAGGATTGTCTACTTAAGTAATTTTTCACTGCGGCAACAGTGATTTATGGAAATTCCTGTCAGCTGCCTTTTTATTAAAAGTAGTGATTCCATGGCTAAATTGGTTGCGCAGGAAACATCGATCGTTTTAAGAAATTAATTTTGTTTATAGCCTCAAAATGTTGAAAGACGTCTTTGAGTGCTCACCTTGAAAACCTTGTGATTCTGTGTTCAGAGGTGGCAAATGACCTTCCTGGATGTGTAGGTGGAAACATTCCAATGTATTATTTAGGTCCTGACAGTTAAACACATCATGTTTGTATTCCCCCCATGCCGTAGGACTCTAGTGGAGGGTGCATTTGTCGTCTGTTCCCCTCCCTCTTTAGTTACTCACTGGTATTAGACAACAGAGGTGATAATCTTTTCAGCAATTTCTTTTACAGGAAAAAGTACTTCAAGTAACCCTAATTCATAAGAACTAGAGCCGTTGTGCTGAACAGACCGTTGATTTGGTTTCCTGCCTCATTTCTTGTCCTTAAAGTGAGGGTATATTTTCCACTTCAGTTTTCTTTGTAAAAGTTTACTGTATATTGATGTTTTATTACCGTGGTTCATTGCCAGAAATTCTAAGAGTAAAATCAGAAGGCAGGAGTTCTGCTTTGTAGATTAAGTCCAGAGTTTTTCTCTCATGGATGTAACCTTTTCTTTCTTTTTCAGTTATTTTTCCAAATAGTCCTATTACACTCATTTCCCTTGTGCAGACAGGCCAAGTGCTTCCACGCTGTTCCCATCTCTTTTTCACTAGAAAACTGAAGGAGCAGGTGTTACCGTAGCGTGTGCCTAGAGCCCTCAGTAGTCGGGTTAATCCTTTGTGTTTGTGCTTGTCAGAGATAACTAGAAAGTCACTGACTGGTTGTCGACATCTGATTTTAAAAGTTTTCCCATCCCTTCTTCTTGAAAGAAAAGAATGTTTCTGATAATACCTCCAGCAAACTTTGCACTCGAAATAAGCTTAGTTCAGTGCTAATACATTAATACCAGTAATGCTAATACAATAATAATCAGTGGTGATTTAAATACATCTCAGTTTTGTTTTCCAGTGTTTAATACAATATCTTGGATTGATTTTTTATTATATTTTTTCTTTCCTCTAAGACATAGTGGTTAAACTGACATTCTGACTAGATCAGCAAAGACATCTGAACTGATGCAGTTCTGTGATGTTTATTTCTTGGTTTTCTGTTGCAAATAGAACAAAAAAAATCTAGTGCTGAAAGCTTGCTGCTTATCATTATGGATATGGTTTAATGTTCTTAATCTACTGCATTTCTGCCTTGATACAATTACAACGTGCAAATAATTTTGTTTACTTTTGACTTTTTTTATCTTTTTTTTTTTCTTCAATATCTACTGGAAGGATGACTAGAGCTAAACCCAGGTGTCAAGGAATTTGTACAGAAAATGATCTTTTCTATCCTTTAAGAGAAAGAGAAAAGGAGGGAAAAAAATGAAAGAGCAGGTGTTTGCTTTTTGGTAACCTGATTTTACAAAACGTAAATCCTCTGAATTGACTTGGCAATCTATTTGGCTTTTGAAAGGAGATACCACCTTCGTTATTTATTAAAGTATTCTGGGATTCACGTGGATGCACCTACTTTTTAGTAGTCTGGCAGACTCTGCAGGTCTGTATCCCTTCTTTTGCCTTTTTGAAGGTGGCCGTCTTCTGCCTTCCACCAACCCTCAGTACAATACACGTGGATGTAAAAGACTTCTTGGTTGTCCGGTGGGCTCTGCTGGTTTTGGTGGTTGTACGGTAGATGAATGGGTGAACCTGGCAAGGACTGGATTACTGAAGAGGTTTTTGGGGGCTCCTTTGTTATCTTGAAACCAAATCTTTCCCTTCTCACCTTTCAACTAGAGAAAATCTATGAGCCATGATTTTCGTGTGTGTTTAAATATTAGAATTCCAACACTCAGATTTTCTGCCCCGTTGATTTTTTTTCTTAAGACCTTGGTGTGAGACCCAGGAAAAGTCTCACTCTACCACTTTTTTGCTTATAAACTTGTTGCAGGCATGTTCAATACCAGATAATGGAATAATTTGGGAAGGGTGAAAACCTAGGAAGTGCCTTCTGCCCATCGCAAAGCTTTGTGACCTGTACGAGGAGCAGCATACTTGTGCAGTTTACATTCCAGAACGTTTCCGATTTAAGCAAGGAGGGTTAGTACATGGCAATAATCAGATGTTTCTAGATGCTTGGAGGAACCCTTGTGCTTCACAGAGATCTGCCTGTGATGATGAAACTCTCCATGTGTCAAGTTCCTGAGCTTTACTAGCCGTGGTTCATTACAGAATTGTTTCCTACCAGCCACTATTTCTTTGTTCTTATACCCCAAACTGATGATGCATCGAGTGGAGTTCATGCTTTTCTCTTGGAATTACCTTTCCCTGGTATCAGTGGATGACTTCTACAGGTAAATCTAGCTGGTAGCAAATGGCCAAATATCTTTCAGTCAGTGTCTGCATTTGGCATTTTAAATATCAGTTCTTTCTCCAGCTTGCCAGAAGGGAAATACCCAGCATAATGATAAAGAAATTGTGAAATTCATGTTCCCACATGCTATACTTCCAACACTTCTGATTTTCCCTGCCTTCTTCAAGATATCTTAATGCGTTTCAGGAAAGGTCGCAGAATCATTGGTAAAGTAGCACCAGACTGGCACCATCCATCCAGCGTGCTCTGCTGTTACGCCAGGTTCTGACATGCGTCCGTGTAGTTGCTTAATATGAAACAGCCACGTTCACTTCACCATTAGTGGGTAAATCTGCAATGTGAAACGTGTGTGCCTTGTTCTCAAAATACAGACAAACTTAACAGCTGTTAACTTCAGCTGAGTGCTTGTTTCTCAAGGACTTACCTGGGGGTCCTTGAAATATTTTACTTGGCTGCCATTTGGCTTGCTGCCTCATAATGTCTTTGTTAATTTTTTTTCTTTATGTATAGAAGGGGAACTCATCCAAGTCGTTGAGTTACAGAAACCATGTGAAGTGCTATCTACTTCTGCTGATGTAGTTGGCCGTCCGCACAGGAATGTCTTAAGATTGGGAAGCGAGAACTAAGATTTTCCTGTGCGTGTTTCATTTCAACAGATTTCTGGCAATGAATAAATTCCATTGAAAACCGCCCACGGCTCTAGTTCTGCAAATGCTGTAAAGGTATGTACGTACTCTAAGACTCTAACAGAGCAGAGCTCTGCTTCACTGTTTGATTCTAACCTTTAATAGACCTTAAGATGCTGTCATTTGCTGCACCTCATTTATAAAAATTAAGGGTTGTTCTTTCCTCCATCATAATATAGCTTACGTGCATCTCCTTCAATTATCAAAAACACATAAAACCAATTAGCTTTAATTTATCTGGGCCCTTTAGTTCAGGG